TCCTCAGCGTATACTTCTAGCATGCAATCCAAAATATCATTTTGTATTGTTTTTGAGGTACCTTTGAAAATTGTCGCATTTGTAAGGTGTTCACTAAGTGTTTTATCAAGTTCAGCAGAAAAATTCACTAAACCACGAAAAATTCCAGGGTTATCTGATGTTTCAGATTCATCGTGTCCTCGTAAGGCGAGCTCAAAAGCCCCACAGAATTTTATACAGTCAATTATTTTTGACAAAACATACCTGTTTTTCGTCACCTCTTCATTGTGTTTTTGTATATTTATCCAATAAGCAGAGTCAAGTTGGGCCTGTATATTAAGTTTCCCAAATAATGCAAATCGCATTTCATTGTTCATATGAGTTTGCGTGTTTTCATGCTTCTTTATTTTTTCACTTAAATGCACTAGATCCCGCACTCCTGTCTCGCGCCACAATTTTTCCTCTTTATCTGCGCCGAATAATGCACACGGAAAACAGAAAAAAGCATTTTTTTCGGAACATCCACAAATCCACTGATTTCGTAGATACATGTCTTTATTAAATTTACGCGTATATGTTTTTCCACGGCTTTTACCGGACACTTCAATATTAAGATCAGGCATAGGACGGCCACGTTCTTTTATAATCAACTGTTGTTGATAGTGAAGTTTTTGAAATTTATTTACACCTAATTTAAATTGAAACTCCATTGTTTTAAACACGCTCGAACAAAACAAATTAAACAAAATTGTAACCTAAGAATTTCTAAACACGGCACAGATGCAACGGTCACGAATAACTGTCGTGAATTGCAGCTCGCAAACACATTTCCGAGGCCGTTAATCAGCCGATTGCCGAAGCACATCGGCTAAGATCGCCGTTTGCCTAATAAATGCATTTTACCGCTGCCAGTGTTTCGGTTGTTATCGACGCGGCTTCACTGGAGCAGCAAATACGTAAAAAGATTGCTTCACTGGAGCACCAAATACGTAAAAAAATTATACGGTTTCACTAGAGGAGTAAATACGTAAAAAAAATAATATTAATCATCGTTGTTGGTGAATTATTATTAACAGTTTATGTTTAATATGATAATATGGCAGATTTGAAATAAAACTATATTAATTATTCTTTAATAATTAAGATTTGCTATGGTTGTTTGGTAGTTCTGCAGCTCAGCAGCACATAAAGAAAAGCCGCCACTGCAATCAAGCGAGATCGACCTTTCCCGCCTGTCATAAGTGAAGAAATAGAGATCTTCCTTAAAGACGTTTCTCCAGAAAAAATTTCAATTTTTAACGAATCCACCCCGAATTCACACTCAATTGCAGGAAATACACAAAAACCTGGTTATAGAATACAGAATCCTCTATATCGTATAAACTACTTGAAACACTATTTTTATAACAGAATAAGCTCAATAATCCTTAAAGCTATTCCAATCGAATAAGCAGGTTTTAGGCCAAATCGAGGTTGCACCGACTAGGTCTTATCTGATTTTTCTGTAATTAACAGAAACACAAGAGGACAATACGTAGTGCTGGGAGATTTTAACGCAAAAGCAGTGGAGTGGGGATCTCCCATCATCGACACTCGCGGCAGGCACATGAATGCACTGCTGGAAGCACAAACCATTCCTGAGCCAAAAGTATCGCCCCATCTGTCTTCTTCCATGCCTCAGTAAGCTGTATGAAAGGATACTGCGAGTACGCATAGACAAACATGAATGAGAGGTCAGTGGTTTAACTCGGAGGCAATTTTGGTTTTTGTAAAGGGAAAAGCACGATATGAGCAATCGTGAGTGTACTCTAACCATTGCGTAACAGAGGGGATGAACATCGCTGGGTGGCTCTGCTGTTGTTTGACGTTAAGAATGTATTCAATACGCTGCAGTGGAGCGAGATAATGAAAGCAATGGAAAATAAAAGAATATCCTGGTTTCCTGATGAATGTGGTGGCGGAGTATCTGTCCGAGAAAAGGATTATGGTGAAAAAGGGCACGATCGTGGACGTCACGGCCGGGGTCCCCCAGGGATCTGTCCTGAGCCCGACGCTATGGAAACTGGCATACGAAACTGGGTTATGAACTGTGAATACGGAGAGTCCTTCGCATTCGCGGATGATCTCGCTGTGCTGGTAGTGCCCGGATTAGCCAGATCTCAAATACCGGGTTCGGAACGCAGGCCGCGTCGTAAAGAAATGGATGACGCAGCACAGACTGAAACTTGCGACAGAGAAAACAGAAGCCATCATTCTGAAGGGGAAAAGGAACAGGCAAATTGTGAAATTACAATGTGCGGTAGCATGTCTAACACCTAAGAAACAAGTAAAGTATCTAGGAGTGACATTGCATCAGAATGTAAAATTGGAGCACCTGCGACAGGTGGCCACGTTGGGGAGGGTCTTAAACGGTGTTGTACAGTCGATCGTCCTCTACGCGGCAAAAGTCTGGAGCGAGGCGGTAGAGATAACGGACTATACGAAGCTCATGACCACAAGTGGACAGAAGAAGTCTGTTGCGGGTGGCATGCGCCTATCGGACTGTACCTGCGGCAGCCTTGTGGACCATCACGGATGTGTTCGTATGCATGTTTTGGCGGTGGAAAAAAAGAGCTGTATGAAAGAAGAGGTCCAAACCTTACTATGGCCACAGAATAATAAACAATCAGAATGCCCACTCTCCATGGAAAATTATGTACGCGCATCTCGTTTGCGCAGACGTTCCGCCATTTTTTAAAGGGAATGAGTGTTGTTTAATGAAAATTTATGTGGTTGCAATAGAAAAATTAACCCGGTTTTAATTGACTTACGGCAATCATAGACATAGTAATAAAAATTATTTAAACATTGTTAAATATAATAATATAAAATAAATAATTAAACATAAATACACTTCATCTAATCTTTATATAACGATGTACGTCATCGCGTCATAGCCTTGACGTCATTATGATACCAACACGAAATATTTAGGGTTTAGGTGTGTTCTTTTTAGAATCACTTTACCGAGTACATTGGCATTACAGCCACTAGACATATTTATTATATACCGTAGAAATAATTTTAAAAAATTGTATTAATGTTCACTTAAAGAAATACACAAAAATATGTTTCATTTAATTTTATAAATCCATTATAAAGAGTTTTTATCAAGAATATTTTTTCGGAACACACTGTAAACTGTAATCGACACGAAGTAAAACTTTGGCATAAATTGGTAACACTTATTTGACATTGCGGTGTTGACAACTTTTGTGTTTTATTATTTTTAATTTAAAGTGAATATCTCTTGTTTATATATTTTACCTATTAATAAAATCTGTTCCTATTAGAACAAAATTAGTGTGTTTTTATTTCAAAAATGTCACGTAAAATTTAAATAGTCGTTGTAAAGAGATGGTAATAACTTTTGCAATAATTATGTGACCTATTGATTTAAAATGGAGTCAGATTTTTTTAACTTATTGGCAACTATGTTAACTTCGATCTTTGACGGAGATAATGACGTAAGTCGTTATCTAAATTAGATGAAGTATATAAACAATTATTTAACCTCACAAATCATAAATTTTTTCTTCTAAAACATGGCGCGCGTGCTGAAAAACTTCAAAGGCGGCATCTGAGAGTGGGCATTCTGATTGTTTTTTATTTTGTGCTATGGCCGAGAGAAGACAGGAAACAGAAAGGTCAATTGAAAGATGGCACAAGAAGTAGTGGACGGTAATGCTGATCCTGAATATAAGAGATTGGTTGGACTGTGGCCACAGGCGTCTGGATTATTTCCTGACGCAGGTGCTCACACTACACGGGTGTTTAGAGCCTACCTGTCTAGGTTCGGAAAGGCTGACATAGATGAATGCCTATACTGTGGATACTCGGACACTGTGACACATACTATGTTAGATTGCAACAGATGGATAGTGGAAAGGAACAGAATGGAAAGGGAGGCAGGTGTGAATTTTGTTACAGCGCGAGAAATGATTGAGAGAATGATTGAAAGCAAATCAGGTTGGACTAGTATACACAACTATATCCGTGCAGTGATCAAGAAAAAAGAAGAGGAAGAAAGACAGCTGGACCAACGGCAAGGGTACTAGTGAAATATGCTGGAAGTTAAAGCTAGAAAAGTGAGTCAGACTGTATGAGTTAGAATGCGTGAGTCAGACTGTGGGGAAGGAGGAAATGCCCGCCTGGAAGTGATGCCGTGCTAGGAGCGATGAGGGTCTTCTACGCGCTACCTGGAACGAGACAGGGAGTATTCCGCTTCTGGATCGCTGGATGACAGAGGAGGGTCTGGTTTACTAGATAGGCGTTCCGCGTAAACTCGACCACGAGAGAGCATTTTAAAGTACCTCGGGAACTATCGACGGAGTACGAAGAACGAATCCTGCACTAAGATCAGTCAGGCGGCGTCCTGGACTGAGATGTCTTTTAAAGATTCCAGACCCTCCTCTATAAAGAAGAAAAAAAATGTTTGGACGTTACTATTATAAACTACTTTTTAGAAAATGAACTGATAATTTAAATTTAAGATACTTTTTTTTGTTATAATAATGAGTTATTTTTTTGCAAAATTTCTTTTAAATGTTCAACAATTTTTATTACAGTATCTTAATCTGTATAAGAATACTATATTATTTATCTATGATCTTAATTTTCTTAAAATAAAATTTAAGTTTACAAAAAATCTCTTTTTTATATACACATGCATTTATCAAAAATACAAACAAAATAAATAATGTAATTTTAATATCTTTAGAGGTTCTTAAAATTCAGGTCATCTATGACCCCACGATAGCAGTTATTTGGGTGTAAATACACGATAGAAGACCAGGGTTAAATCTATACATATATACCATAATGTATAACTTATCTTTGTAGTTGCTAGTCAGCTATGGTGGATGCAACATAAACAGTTGTCGTTAGATTGGAAAAATGCTAATAAAACCATGAATTCATATTCAGTTCATATTCTATTTTTTAGTGAATGTTGGTAATGCGATATATAAAAGACAAGTCGTAAAACCCATAAATTTTTATTTTAAATAATCTGAACAGTCTTAGAGCAAAAGATATTGAGAATATCACAAATTATACAACACGATAGTAAAACAAACGTTGATCATTTATTAGGTAGATATGCCTCGAGATTTTTCAGATTCTGATAGAGGAGGTCTTCTGTCGGTCCTAAGCCTACAAAAATCCAAGCCGTAAAAGCCAGCAACGATCTCCATAAAGATAGGTGGTTCCATGTTCGTAGGTCACTTTTTGTGATCTGAAAAAAGGACATAAATTTTAAACATTCACATAAATAAAACATTTTTTCAGGATATCAAAGTACGCACTAACATTTTATTTTTGTACTAAATTTACCAACTGCAATTTGCGCCTGTTTCAGTTTAAGGATAAAACGGTAATTGTATGGTAACCTTTATTTTTAGCTATCAGTGGTATATTTGAAAGGGTGTTTCAAATTTCTCTTAATAATTTTTGACTAAAAAACATCTGCTGTCGATGAATGTCTGGCAGATGTAAGTCAAAAAACTCTTTTGTATAGAAAATATGCATGAAGGATGGTTTATTAAAGGAAATCAAATATGACAAAATCTTCAATTTTTTTAACAAAAACAAACATTTTCAATGCGAACAACGCATTGCCTAACACTTAATTGAAGAGGGTGACTCATTGGCAACAATTAAATTTTATACCATTAACTGTTAGAGAAAGGCTATAACGGGATAATATGGAAAAATGTACACTTGTCTGCATTTTTATTTGGGGTTGACCACCTGAAAGTACATATTTAGATAGCCAAATTTTTAGCTCCCTAGCTGGTACCTGGAGTCCTCTATAGCAAAAAATGTGATTTTTTCGAAAAAAAAAAAAAAATTCTGAGCGATCCAAAAACCCTCTGTTTTTTTATTCAGATTTTTTGATCAAAATTGGTCTAAGAAAACATTTTTGAATTTTCCCAAAAAAAATTATTGTGTAGGTAATTTTTTGCATTCTAACAACTTCTAAATCATCCTCAAAATTTTAAATCGTAATCCTCACAATTTTAAATGAATTTACTATATTTGTGTTACAGATCATATTTAAGTTAATGAATAGAATCATAGAAGTAAATCAGAGATGTGGACTTACACTAAACAAAATGTATGATGATCTCTAAGAAGAAACAGCAATTTAGAACAATGAGTGTGAATACTCAACTAATAGAAATGGCAAAAACATGCACCTACTTTGGTATGAACGTCAATGAAAATTGGGACCATTCCCTAGAAATCAAATGTAGGCTAGAGAAAGCAAGATCTGCATTTAAAAAAATGCCTAAGCTATTCAAATGTCATGATTTATTAGTACCCATAAAAATCAGGTTACTACGATGTTATATCTTTCCTATACTGTTGTATGAAGTTGAATCGTGGACTCTCACAGACGCTACCTGCAAGAAAATTGAGGCTTTCGAAATGTGGCATCATCGTCGAATCCTGAAGATATCTTATACCGACCACTTTACTAATCAGGACGTTTTATTAAGAATACAAAAAGTAAAAGAGCTATTAACCACAATTAAAACATCCAAAATTTACAGAGAAAAGTAGAAGAGAAATGAGAACGAGGAAGGCGAAGGATATCCTGCCTGAAAAATTTAGGTACGTTGTTTACACAACAACCATAAATTTTTACAGAACAGCAGTGTGCAAAATACAGAGTGCCGGGATGGTTGTCAACATCCGAAACGGATAGTCACTACAAAAAGAAGAAGAAGAAACGATATTATTTTGATTTTCTTACTAGTAAACAACGTATTGTATTTGATCCTTGTAAAGTATTTATAAAGTCAGTTGAAACAAGCACAAAACTGGTTACCGAAAAACATTAAAAGAATAATATCGTATTACAAGACATGGGCGCTTCATTTATTTTTATATTCAAATATAGATTAATGAAGAACAGAAAAAGAACAATTTTAATTTACTTAAAGCTGTCGTAAAGTACATAAATGTATAAAACAGTTTTTAACGTGTCATATTTAGCAACAAAAATAATTTATAATTAAATGGCAATTTGCCATATTGACAGTACAATGATTTAAAACAGTTATTATACTTCGTAAAATAATAAACATTTTAGCTGTACAGCACTGGCATGAATCAACAGTGTTTCTAGGGTGCGTTCATAACGGAGACCATGGCATCGTATCCTCGCCTAGAACATAGCACTGACGGTGGACGCTTGCATTGAAAATATGCATTTATTGTACCTAAAATCGATAATATGATACCATCCTATGGTCCGATCGAGGGTCGGCGCCTCGTTATGAACGCACACTTATCTGTACACCATCGCCGCCGGCTGGAAGCGAACCTCCAAGTAGCGTGTTAAATATTGGTGATTTTGAATAACATATCAATGTCCAATATTTATTTGATGGGATGTATCTGTATTGGAAAAAATTATTACTCTCTTATTTAAATTTTCATTACAAATTATTTTTAGTTTATTGATTAATTTTTAAACTTGCCTAGGTAATTTGTTGTTATTACAGTTCGACGAGCGAGAAGTGGCGTGTTGTGCGTTAATCAAATTTTATACTATTACATAATTTATTTTTTCTCTAACAGCCAAGCGGAAGAGATCAAGCTCCTAACGTTAAATTTACTGCAGTATTGTCAAGTATTTAAATATTTATTTGAAGTGGAGCTGCTATATTATGGAATTAAAGGGGACTAAATTATGGAATTAAAGGAGGACAAGGAAAGAGCCTCCACGAGATCAATAGTGCCACATCAACTGCAAAGTAAACATTATTGACGGCGTCCCCTGGAAACGTCTACTAGTAGACGCTAATCCTTCCAACACCGGACCAAACCAAATCAGATGGCAAAGATCAAGCCACAACGGTTCTTCTCAGAGCTAACACTGACAGTAGCGAGCATAAATATCGAGGGCATCACTACAGCCAAACAAGAAATATTATCAAAATTCTGCAAGAACACGAAATGTGAGGTATTGTGCATCCAGGAAACCCACAGAGACCTAACTGTAGCAAGACCGAAAGTCTCTGGTATGAAATTGATTACGCAGATACCACATAATAAGCATACTCAAATATAGTAATATAAATAAATATAAAGACTCAAACCATAGTCTCATTTACAACAAATGTACACGGTCTAGAGATAATAACCACTGAAATCGGAAAATGCACAATAACCTCGATATACAAGCCCCCAAACCAGCCTTTTATATTTTCACCCCCAACTAATTTTCAATCACAAACCAATCAGCTTGTACTGGAAGATTTTAACAGTCACAGTTTACTCTGGGCTATGCAGATTTGGACGCAAATGGAGACGCAGTAGAAGCATGGGCTGAAACGAGTGGCCTCTCGTTAATCCATGATCCCAAACGTCCACCATCTTTTCAGAGCAAAGTTTGAAAATGGGGATATAACCCGGATATCTGTTTTTCAAGCAACAACCTCGAAGACCGATGTACCAAAGTAGTATATGGCCCCATACCAAAAACTTAGCATAGACCAATTGGTATAAATATCTTCCAAATTGTCAGACCACTAGCTATTCCATTCAGAAGGAGATTTAACTTCAAAAAGACAAACTGGCAAAAGTATGCAGACATGCTAGATTCTGAACTACTACGCCTTGAACCGAAAGTAGAGAACTACGAAAAATTTGTAGAGGTACTCAAAAATATGTCTAGAAAAACTATCCTTAGAGGATGTAGACAACAATATGTTCCCGGGATGTCCAGCGAGTCCAAAGAACTAATGAGAACATACGAAACCATCTATTCCACTGACCCTTTTAGCCAAGAAACTGTTCGAAGCAGTACTACTCCAACAGCTAAGTCAAGCCAACCAGGAAAAGTCGATTAAGACCCTGGAAAAAATGGACATGACACATAGTAGCAAAATAGCATAGAACCCTGTAAAAAAACTCAGCGGTGATCCAAAAGAACATAAACCACCTTGCAAGGTTACAGCAAACCAAGTCGCTGCTCAACTACTTACGAATGGAAGAACTACTAACCGATATAAGGACCCAAACACTAGGAGAAGATTTGATTCGGAGACAAACCACCTAGGAACTCCTTTTACACTAAAAGAACCTCACGACGACGGTCTGAACAGGTTAAAAAACGGGAAAGCTGCAGGTGTGGATGATAAATGCGGTGAACAAATAAAGTATTTAGACCAAGGAGCAAAAAACTGGATCTTGAAATTTTATAACACGTGCTGCAAAACCTGCAAAATTCCAAAATCATGGAGGAAATCCAGTAGCTACAGACCTATTTCGCTATTGTGTCACTTTTTTAAAACTATACGAGAGACTGATACTCGCCAGAATAGAAAAAAATGTCGACAAGCACCTCATCCCACAACAATGAGGATTCAGACCTGACAAATCTTGCACCTGTGATGTCCTCGCATTAACAGAACACATTGAAGAGGGCTTTGAAGAAAAACTTATAACAGGGGCTGCTTTAGTAGATTTGACAGCAGTCTATGACACAGTAAGGCACAAAACATTGCTCAGCAAATTATACGACACTCTCAATGACCACCATCTGGGAAAGGTCGTCTATTCCTTACTGCAAAATAGACGTTTTTTCGTTATGCTGGAGGGTAAAGTAAGTAGGTGGAGAGTTAAAAAAAAACGACCTCCCACAGGGAAGTGTTTTAGCACCAATTCTCTTCAATATATACACAAACGACCAACTTACTCCGACCGAAACCAAGCACTTTCTCTATACTGACGATCTTGCAATATGTGCTCAAGGAAATAGTTTTGAAGAAGTGGAGGAGAAACTCGAAACTGCCTTAAAAACAATGATAGCGTACTACCTGCAGAATTCTCTAAGACGCAATCCCTCTAAAACCCAAGTCTGCGCTTTCCGTCTTCGCACAAAGGAAGCCGAGCGAAAACTCCAAATTGTGTGGAATGGTAATACATTAGAACACACAAACCAACCTATATATCTTGGAGTAACTCTGGACCGGTCCCTCACCTACAGACATTGTATAAAAACTAACTAACATTGCATAAAAACGAGAGGGACAGTAACAACTAGGAACAGCATACTCAGAAAGCTAACGGGAAGTAAATGGGGCGCACGTCCTGGTGTTTTAAGAACAACGGCACAGGCACTGTGTTTCTTAACTGCTGAATATGCGTGCCCCGTTTGGAGCAGATCTGACCACACCAAATAAGTTGATACTGCGCTAAATGAGACATGCAGGATAGTAA